GGGGGCCCCCATGAGCTGTCAGTCCGCCCCTGATCGCAGTCCCACTAGAAGTAACTGATCACGGGCCATTACTAGTAGACGCTAACAAACCAATGTACAGTAGTGAAACCATTTGTTACCTGCATCTAATAAAGCTCATTGGTCGGTTCAGTTTAAAACGAATCTCCTCCTAGAAGTGTAATGTTTTTGGAAGATATTCTAGTGAGGGGCAGCCGTTGTCACCGCACATGCGCTCTGAAGGGACGGGCATACCCATGCTGTGTGCTGCATGTGGCTTTCATGCGCATTGTACTTGGTAGTGACATCACTGCTGGCTTCAGCCATTTCAGGCAGCTGCACCCAATGAACCCGGAAGGAAGCGTCTGCGCCGGTGAGAGCCGGTGTAGTGTGAGTATGGCAGTGTCCGTGCGGGGGGGGGGGGGGGCTTACAGTTTCAAGGCCAGTCTTTCATATGCGATGCATACGAAGTTCTGCCTTCACTTTGCATGGGGCGAGGTCCCCCCATTCCGCCATCCCGTTTTACTACGGCTTTCATGGCCTAAAAACTTTTGTTGACTGATGATAGCCGAGTCTACGAATTTCTTTTGAACGAATTGCCTTTTCTATGGAATCTCCTGGATGAAATGGCGCTTGATGGACAGGATTGAACTTCCAGGTTTCACGGGAGCCTCTTTCCCCGCCTTGTGCTGTGTACTACTCACTATACAGATATTGCTAAAACGATTGCGAATTGGATGAATAAAGAGAACGTTGCCATGTTCACAAGCATGTACTTGTCACAAATGGAACAATGACACGGAAGCTAGTTGCCTTCTCAGATCCATAACAGGAGGGAACAATGACTCGGTACGTTCCTTCTCAGCCCATCAGACAGGATGGAACAATGAACACGGAAGTTTCCTTCTCAGATCCAGAGGCAGGATGGAACCTCTTGACACGGAACGTTCCTTCTCAGATCCAGGAGGCCAGGATGTGGAACAATGACACGGTAACGTTCACTTCTCAGATCCATAGAAAGGATGGAACAATGACCACGGAACGTTCCTTCTCAGATCCGAGAGGCGGATGGCCATTGACACGGAAGTTCTTCTCAGATCCCAGAGGCAGGATGGAACAATGACACGGAACGTTCCTTCTCAGATCCGCATAGACACAGGATGGAACAATGACACGGACGTTCCTTCTTCAGATATCCTATAGACAGGACTGGAACAAATGGACACGGAAGCGTTCCTTCTCAGATCCCATAGACAGGATGGAACAATGACACGGAACGTTCCTTCTCAGATCAATAGACAGGCTCACAATGGACAAGGAACGTTCCTATTCAGATCCCAGAGAGGCAGGATGGAAACAATGACACGGAACGTTCCTTCTCAGATCCCATAGACAGGATGGAACAATGACACGGAACGTTCTTCTCAGATCCCAGAGGCAGGATGGAACAATGACACGGAACGTTCCTTCTCAGATCCCAGAGGCAGGATGGATACAAATGACACGGAACGTTCCTTCTCAGATCCCATAGACAGGATGGAACAATGACACGGAACGTTCCTTCTCAGATCCCATAGAGGCAGGATGGAACAATGACACGGAACGTTCCTTCTCAGATCCCATAGGCAGGATGGAACAATGACACGGAACGTTCCTTCTCAGATCCCATAGACAGGATGGAACAATGACACGGAACGTTCCTTCTCAGATCCCATAGACAGGATGGAACAATGACACGGAACGTTCCTTCTCAGATCCAGAGGCAGGATGGAACAATGACACGGAACGTTCCTTCTCAGATCCCATAGACAGGATGGAACAATGACACGGAAGTTCCTTCTCAGATCCCAGAGGCAGGATGGAACAATGACACGGAACGTTCCTTCTCAGATCCCATAGACAGGATGGAAACAATGACACGGAACGTTCCTTCAAGATCCCAGAGGCAGGATGGAACAATGACACGGAACGTTCCTTCTCAGATCCCAGAGGCAGGGAGATGGAACAATGACACGGAACGTTCCTTCTCAGATCCCATAGACAGGATGGAACAATGACACGGAACGTTCCTTCTCAGATCCCAGAGGCAGGATGGAACAATGACACGGAACGTTCCTTCTCAGATCCCAGAGGCAGGATGGAACAATGACACGGAAAGTTCCTTCTCAGATCCGAGCTGACATAGACAGGATGGAACAATGACACGGAACGTTCCTTCTCAGATCCCATAGACAGGATGGAACAATGACACGGAACGTTCCTTCTCAGATCCCAGAGGCAGGATGGAACAATGACACGGAACGTTCCTTTCTCTCAGATCCCATAGACAGGATGGAACAATGACACGGAACGTTCCTTCTCAGATCCCAGAGGCAGGATGGAACAATGACACGGAACGTTCCTTCTCAGATCCCATAGACAGGATGGAACAATGACAGCGGAAACGTTCCTTCTCAGATCCCATAGACAGGATGGAACAATGACACGGAACGTTCCTTTCAGATCCCATAGACAGGAAGGAACAATGACACGTAACGTTCCTTCTCAGATCCCATAGACAGGATGGAACATTGCACGGAACGTTCCTTCTCAGATCCAGAGGCAGCATTTCTAAAGATACATGGCAGATTTTCATGCTGTGGTAGGAGCAGACTCATCCTGCCCAGCCCCCCTCTCTTTCCATAAAATCCCCCCCTCCCCCATTGCGGCAACGCAGATGGCAGCAGTGTGACCTCGCTGTTCCTGCCTCCTTGTTTTGATCCTGCAGTCTTGATTGTTCAGGCTAATCCACACTGGAGCCTTGGCCGCCTGCCAGGGCCGTTATTAATGGTACAAAAGCTTCTGTTCCACCTACTGCTAGATCCACCAATGACATCGCTGTTTATTTTCCTCTCCGAGCTGCTGTGACCCCACACACTACAACTACACAACACAGCCAGCAAGGAAACCCAGTCATGCCTTTCTGAGGAGGAATACAAAGGTGACACCTAGAAGAGGAGGAATACAAAGGTGACACCTAGAAGAGGAGGAATACAAAGGTGACACCTAGAAGAGGAGGAATACAAAGGGGACACCTAGAAGAGGACATACAAAGGGGACACCTAGAAGAGGAGGACATACAAAGGTGACACCTAGAGAGGAGGAATACAAAGGTGACACCTAGAAGAGGAGGAATACAAAGGTGACACCTAGAAGAGGAGGACATACAAAGGTCACACCTAGAAGAGGAGGACATACAAAGGTGACACCTAGAAGAGGAGGAGGAATACAAAGGTGACACCTAGAAGAGGAGGAGGAATACAAAGGTGACACCTAGAAGAGGAGGAGGAATACAAAGGTGACACCTAGAAGAGGACGACTACAAAGGTGACACCTAGAAGAGGAGGCATACAAAGGTGACACCTAGAAGAGGAGGCATACAAAGGTGACACCTAGAAGAGGAGGCATACAAAGGTGACACCTAGAAGAAGGAGGCATACAAAGGTGACACCTAGAAGAGGAGGAATACAAAGGTGACACCTAGAAGAGGAGGACATACACAGATGACACCTAGAAGAGTGGACGACATACAAAGGTCACACCTAGAAGAGGAGGAGGAATACAAAGGTCACACTAGAAGAGGAGGAGGAATACAAAGGTCACACCTAGAAGAGGAGGAGGAATACAAAGGTGACACCTAGAAGAGGAGGAGGAATACAAAGGTAACACCTAGAAGAGGAGGAGGAATACAAAGGTAACACCTAGAAGAGGAGGAGGAATACAAAGGTGACACCTAGAAGGAGGAATACAAAGGTGACACCTAGAAGGAGGAATACAAAGGTGACACCTAGAAGGAGGAATACAAAGGTGACACCTAGAAGGAGGAATACAAAAGGTGACACCTAGAAGGAGGAATACAAAGGTGACACCTAGAAGAGGACGACATACACTCACCAGCCTCTCCATTAGGTCCACCTGTCCAATGGCTCGGTGACACAAACTGCCAATCAGCCAATCGCATGACAGCAACTCAATGCATTTAGGCATCTAGACGTGGTGAAGACGACTTGCTGCAGTTCAAACTGAGCATCAGAATGTGAAAGTGGACTTGAGTGACTTTGAACGTGACATTGTGTTGTTGGTGCCAGACGGGCTGGTCTGAAGATTTCAAAAAACTGCTGATCTCCTGGGATTTTCATGAACCACCATCTCTAAGGTTTACAGAGAATGGTCTAAAAAAGAAAATATCCAGTGAGTGGCAGTTGTGTGGAGGAAAATGCCTTGTTGATGTCAGAGGAGAATGGGCAGACTGGTTGGAGATGATAGAAAGGCAACAAGGAACTCCAATAACCCCTCATTACACCCAAGGTATGCAGAATACCATCTCTGACCGCACAACACGTCCAACCATGAAGCAGATGGGCTACAGCAGCAGAAGACCACACCGGGGGCCACTCCTGTTAGCTAAGAACAGGAAATGGAGGCTACAATTCACACAGGATCACCAAAATTGGACAATAGAATATTGGTAAAATGTTGCCTGGTCTGATGAGTCTGGATTTCAGCTGCGACATTCAGATGTTCGGGTCAGAATTTGGCGTAAATATGAAAGCATGGATCCATCCTGCCTTGTATCAACAGTTCAGGCAGGTGGTGTCATGGTGTGGGGGAGATTTTCTTGGTGCACTTTGGGCCCCCTTAGTACCAATTGAGCATTGTTTCAACTATACTATACTTACCCCGCATTCACTATATCCGCTCCTCCCCGGACCCCGCATTCGCACTATATCCGCTCTCCCCGGACCCCCGCATTCACTTCACCATATCCGCTCTCCCCGGACCCCGCATTCACTATGTCCGCTCTCCCCGGACCCCGCATTCACTATATTTCCGCTCTCCCCGGACCCGGCCATTCACTATATCCGCCCCGACATTCACTATGTCCCCCGGACCCGGCATCTCCCCTCCCGAACCCCGCATTCACTCTATGTCGCTCTCCCCGGACCCCGCATTCACTATATCCCCTCTCCCCGGACCCCGCATTCACTGTATCCGCTCTCCCCGGACCCCGCATTCACTATATCCGCTCTCCCCGGACCCCGCATTCACTATATCCGCTCTGCCCGGACCCCGCATTCACTATACCCTCTCCTCAGCTCTGCCCGGACCCCGCATTCACTGTATCCGCTCTCCCCGGACCCCGCATTCCCTATATCCCCTCTCCCCCGGACCCCGCATTCACTATACCCGCTCTGCCCGGACCCCGCATTCACTGTATCCGCTCTCCCCGGACCCCGCATTCACTGTATCCGCTCTCCCCGGACCCCGCATTCACTATGTCCCCTAGTCCTCTGCCGGATACCCGCCATTCACTATGTCCTCTGCGCCGGAACAAGCATCCGCTCTCCGCTCCCGGACCCCGCATTCACTGTATCCGCTCTCCCCGGACCCCGCATTCACTGTTATCACGCTCTGCCCGGACCCCGCATTCACTATATCCGCTCTCCCCCGGACCCGCATTCACTATCCGCTCTCCCCGTTCACTCTCCCCCGGACCCCGCATTCACTATATCCGCTCTCCCCGGACCCCGCATTCACTATATCTGCTCTGCACGGATCCCGCATTCATTCTTGTCCCTGACATCCTTGGACAGCTCTTTGGTCTTTGCCATGGTGGAGAGTTTGGAATCTGATGGTTTGATGGCTCCTGTGGACAGGTGTCTTTTATACAGGTAACACAATGAGATTAGCAGCACTCCCTTTAAGAGACTGCTTCTAATCTCAGCTTGTTACCTGTATGAGAGACACCTGGGAGCCAGAAATCCTGCTGAATGATAGGGGATCAAATCCTTCTTTCCCTCATGAACATGCAGATCCGTCATCATTTGTTAGACACATTTCTGCTGAATTTGTTGTTGTATTCTGTCTCTGTTACACCGAACATTCCATTGTTAGACCGATCATTTCTGTGTGAGGGGCGAACATTCCATTGTTAGACCGATCATTTCTGTGTGAGGGGCGAACATTCCATTGTTAGACCGATCATTTCTGTGTGAGGGGCGAACATTCCATTGTTAGACCGATCATTTCTGTGTGAGGGGCGAATATTCCATTGTTAGACCGATCATTTCTGTGTGAGGGGCGAACGTTCCATTGTTAGACCGATCGTTTCTGTGTGAGGGGCGAACGTTCACCATCGGGGGGAGCAAATACACATTTCCTTCACTGTATTGAATGTTCACTTTATCGCATGAGTATGTAATATTTGTGATTTAAAGGGACGGCGCACCCTTTTCTATATAGCTTTGTCAAACTCCGGTATTCAGGATTTTCCAAGTGCAGCAGTTTACCGATTTAACGGAGTGTGAGGATTATTTTTATATACATTTTAGACTCTCCATATAGCTGTCTGCCTGTCCGGGAGAGATGGAGGTACAAGGAGACAATGAATGTAGTCTAGGACACTTCAAAAGTGTGTCGTGTGACAAAAGGTTGAACAATCTCGAGGCCCCTCATTGTAAAACACGAAAAAAATGGTTTTACATAACAGCAACGTCCACACACAGGACTCCATCACTGGAGGCAACTTGTTACAAAGCACATATACTTCTGCACATTGGTACCGATTTGTATTTCGGCATTTCCCTTCTCCCTCACTAACATGATCCCAGTGCTGATGGAGGCAAACAAGGGTGCAAGCCCCCGATATCCTCCATATAAAGCAGTTCTCTGGTTAGGATGCCAGCGGCTGACCCCCACCCTGCACAACGCTGCACAATGAAAGCCTGTGGTTGTGTAAGAGGAAGCCTTCATCCATCTGCTGTCTTGACAATTTTTGGGCATTTTGCCAAGGCACCCCTGAAAACCCATCAGGCCCCCTGAAAACCCATCAGGCCCCCCTGAAAACCCATCAGGCACCCCTGAAAACCCATCAGGCACCCCTGAACACCCATCAGGCCCCCCTGAACACCCATCAGGCCCCCCTGAACACCCATCAGGCACCCCTGAACACCCATCAGGCACCCCTGAAAACCCATCAGGCACCCCTGAACACCCATCAGGCCCCCCTGAACACCCATCAGGCACCCCTGAACACCCATCAGGCCCCCCCTGAACACCCATCAGGCACCCCTGAAAAGCCATCAGGCACCCCTGAACACCCATCAGGCACCCTGGTTGAAAAGGCTGGTCTAGGAAGATGAACTATGTGCTCACCAGCAGCTACAAGCGGTCTGCCACAATGGCGGATGGTAGTTGTAGTTCATTCACAGAACTCTCCGTGTGGGCGGAGCAGCGCTCTGTTATAGCGGGTGCGCAGAGAATATCCCCGCCCGCTGTCACATGGGGGAGATCGGAGGGGCCCAGTCGTGCTGTTTGGGAACATGTTACAGCCTAAACACGGGTGCAACATGTAGCCTGTGACCAAAGGTGAAGTTGCCCTTTAACACTGCTGGGATTCTGTGTGACACGGCCAATACACAAGTACAGCGATCGTGAAATAAACAAACATCGCAAAGACGGGAAGTAAGGCTACGTTCACACTAGCGTTGTCAGCAGGCGGCAGACAGATATTTGGGAAGCGCTTTTTACCGTTTCCCAAACGCCTGGGAAAATTCTGCACATTGCAGCACATGGTGCTGTTCAAACAAGAGCGTTAATGTCGCATTGCGTCGCGGCAAAAACGGACGCCTCTGGTTGAGTCAGGAGTTGAAGCCTCCTATTCAAGTCTGTGTGTGCCGCTCTGCAAATGCCCGGCCGGCGTTTGCGGTGCGGTTTGCGAGGTGATTATGGAGCGTTAACACCATTCAAACTTCATTATAGGCGTTTGTGGAGCGTTTAACACTCAGCAAATGGCTAGCAACCACCGCTAAACCACGCATGCAGCGTTTTTGGCGCGTTTGCGGAGCATTAAAAAACGCTCCGCAAACACCGGACCAACGCTTGTCAAGCGCTATAGTGGCGTTTGGCAAGAGTTGTAAAATGAATCAAGTGTGAACGAGCCCTAACAGAACACACTGATCTAGTAATGGATCTCTCAGAGACAGCTCCTATTAGATGACAAACAAATCTTTCTTCGGGGGGGGAAGGGGGGGGGGTCTACCCTATAGACAGGTAATCTGTGTATTCAGAAGGGGAAATATTGAACTAATCCAGGTAAAGAAAATGTTCATACAAATTCCCAAAGTAAAACCATAAACAAAGCTTCATCCTTTGATCTGCTTCCCTCACGGAACATCCATGTTCATAAAGCATCTGTTAGCACACACACGCACATATCATGGAACACGGGAGGTGTCACGCTTTGCTGCTCTGAGCTCCCGGCTCCCACTAATCTTTGTTCAGCAACTATGTTGAAAATAGTAGAGAGGGATTTCCACAGCTTTGAACTTCATCTCATTAGCCAAGCAATGGTGTAGGACTTCAGTATCGAGGAGGAGAAAAAGCAGATATGAGGCGATCTTTGGCCAAGAAACCGATGGAGGAGCGAGGGGCCGGACGGAGGAGGAGCGAGGGCCGGGAGGACGGGGCCGGAGGAGGAGCGAGGGCCGGACGGAGGAGCGAGGGCCGGACGGAGGAGCGAGGGCCGGACGGAGGAGCGAGGGCCGGACGGAGGAGCGAGGGCCGGACGGAGGAGCGAGGGCCGGACGGAGGAGCGAGGGCCGGACGGAGGAGCGAGGGCCGGACGGAGGAGCGAGGGTCGGACGGAGGAGCGACGGTCGGACGGAGGAGCGACGGTCGGACGGAGGAGCGACGGTCGGACGGGTTAGGAGCGGACGGACGGAGGAGCGACGGTCGGACGGAGGAGCGACGGTCGGACGGAGGAGCGACGGTCGGACGTGTGTATCTGCACCCGGCCAGCTTCCCTGGACACCCCCTTGGATGATTTTTCTCATAGCATTGGTGAACCAGGCTAGATTTTCAGCACCGATTGTCCTTTTTCCCCAAACATGAAACATTAGACACGTCTGACTTGGGGCCCCTTACACACGAGCCGGATATCTGTCTGCTGAGCGGAGCCGGTGATGTCAGGTCCGCTGCACCTATACAAAGCTGCTTCACTCCATGGGACTTCGGTCTGTTTACACCGAACGGTCCTCCAACCCGATCGAGGGGAACAGATCGCCCTTTTGTTTTTGCTGGATTGGAGGTAGCCATATGCAAACTGACAAGTCCATTTACATCCAACCGCCCATAGAGGTGAATGGAGGGTCCGATCGGGCCCACCTGAAAAACGGACAGGTGGACCCAATCTGACTGTTTATGTGGAAGGGGCCTCACAGGAATCCTCACAAATTCTCAACCCCCCAAGGTCTGTAGGCAACGTAGTAGTGGCCATCCAGAAGTAGGACAACGCCGATTTGGACACTAATCTCTATGGCCAACCTCTGGCTTGCCACAGGCATAAAAATGGCTGAAAGATTAAACTTCCACACAACCACCGCACGGCATAGACCCCCTTCGACCACCGCACGGCATAGACCCCTCCTTCGACCACCGCACGGCATAGACCCCTCCTTCGACCACCGCACGGCATAGACCCCTCCTTCGACCACCGCACGGCATAGACCCCTCCTTCGACCACCGCACGGCATAGACCCCTCCTTCGACCACCGCACGGCATAGACCCCTCCTTCGACCACCGCACGGCATAGACCCCTCCTTCGACCACCGCACGGCATAGACCCCTCCTTCGACCACCGCACGGCATAGACCCCTCCTTCGACCACCGCACGGCATAGACCCCTCCTTCGACCACCGAACGGCATAGACCCCTCCTTCGACCACCGAACGGAATAGACCCCTTCGACCATCGAATGGAATAGACCCCTCCTTCGAATCGAATGGAATAGACCTCTCTTTCGAACAGAAGACCAGGGTGCGATAAAAACAGGCCGTTGAGAGACAGTTTTAAAAACACCCCCCTTACCATAACCACCCATCTACCCCAAACAGCCGCAGGTGGCTGTAGGGTGTATAACTTGTCCGACTGGCAGTGGCACCGCCTGTCAGAGTGGCCCATTCAAGTCAAAATGGCCTTGCCATAAGTGCGAGCCAAATGATTGGTTTGCAGTTTCAGCACAAGCTCCATTCACAGTCCCCTCCTGATTGGCTGGAAGCCGTTCTCTTCATAGGTTCTGCAGTGAGAATGAAGCCCAGTTGTGGCACAAACATTCCTCGTCGTCTCAGCCAGTGTGATGGTAAACCTCAGCTTCTCTTTTTTTTATATTAAAAACAAAAAGTTCTACTTCTTCTCTGTAATGCTTTTGCACAGAGCAGCTCGGATGCTCCTCTTCTGGAGTCCCCCATTGGTGCTCCTGGCCCCACTCCGGCGGGTGC